TGTGGGAAGTGAATAAAGGAGAAAAAAAGTCATAAACCATCTTTTTAATGAGCCCTGGGAAAGGGCACCATTGACAGCAATTGAAGGCTGGGAAGGTATGTTCTTTGGAGGGGAAGATGAACTCACCACTTTTTTACACCAAACTGCTGGGTATAGCTATGATCTTAGTAGTGAGCCCCTTGAGATAACTAGATTTGGGCAAGTAAAGCCCCAGGAGGCTGAAGGCAGAGTCTTATGCTTTGTCCCTTCCAGACTATAAAGCCATAAAAATAAGTGAGCTCCTAGAGGAGGTAAGGAAGAAGAGCAGCAAGCCACCAGCAAGAGCTGACCAGAGTTGGAAAATGAGAAGAGAAAGAGAAAACTCAGAAAGGGGCAAGAAAGAGAACCCGGGAGTATTTATTGAGCACTGCCTCCTGGGCACTATCCTAAGTTCCTAGTGAGGTCTTTTTGATGGCAGGTAAGAGAAATCCACTAGAGGCAGCTGAAACACAAAGGGGAGATTTGTTCTTAGGATAACTGAATGTTTCCCAGAATTCTATGACAGGAAGAGCGGCCTGTTCCAGGAAGGGAATGAAACCAGAAAAAAAAATTTCACAAACTCAGTGAGAACTTTCTCTCCCTCTCTTATCTTTGCTTCTGTGTATGCATTTCCATTTCTCCCTCTCTCTTCCCAAAATTGGCTCTCTGTTACCTTGTCATTAGGGCCCAGTGCTCCCAAATTTTAACTTTCCTTTTAGTAGATCCGCCAGACTGATACTGAAGCTGTTTGTCTCAATTCCAGATTCCTGAGAGACAGAATCTGATTGACCTTGATGTCTACTCCTGGACAGATGAGCTGTGACTAGCAGGACAGAACGACTTAGCAGAAACATGGCTGTGAGGTGCCCATTCCTGTGGGCCGGGGGCAGTTTCCAGAGAGGCTGGGTGGACAATCCAGTAAGGCTTCCACTGTAACCATTTACATTTGCTCATCAACTCCCTGAGATATATCTCATTTCCTCCATACACATAAGGAAACTCAGGCACAAGGAAGTTAAATAATGCATTCAGGGTCACACAGTGAATGAGTGGCAGAGCCAGTGCTCAAACCCAGGTGCTGTCTAGCTCCAAAGCCTCTGTTTTTTTCTATCACTCTGCAGATTTTTCCAGCAGAACAAGGCAACTTTCCCTCTGCCAATTTGAAATTTGGAAAGCTATTCCTTTTCTAGGACAAGTAACATAATTATATTAGGCACTATAATAGAGATGCTGGTGTAGTAGAAAGAGGAATTAGGTTGCCTAAACTGGAAATAATCATTAGTAATAAAAATAATGAATAACAGACACTATCTAAGAGTTATTGAGGGCTCTTAGGTGTTATTAATTAGCTCATTTAGTACTCACAACCACTCCATGAAGGTAAGTAGTACCATTATCTTGTGTTACAGATGGGGAAACTGAGGTACTGGGAGGTTAAATAACTTGTGTCAGCTCAAACAGCTGTTAAGAGGCAGAGCCAGGCCTCGGGATCTGGCTCCAGAGAATAAACTAGCCTGGCCACTGTCCTGTTGCCAGTCCTGTGGAACCAAGGAGCAGGGCCCACTGAAGGGCTTGCTCTTGTTCTTGCAGGCCTCCCACATCTCTGATCACCTGGCCTCATGACTTGGCAAATTCTCGACTCTCTAAAGTTCTTTCCCTCTCATTGCAGAGGCTGGTGGAAGAGGAACCCCTGCATTCTCTCTTCAGCCCTGTGCGCCAGGAGGTCTTTGTCACCATCACTGACCTCAGGTGATGCCAACATGCCCCACATATGCATCCTGGTTCCTCATTCAGAGCCAATACCAGAGCCAACATGTTCCATATTTTGAACTTCTGAAAACTATTTAGATAGGAAAGGGGAAGCCAAATCCATGTTTTTCTGTAAGAACTTTGACTTCATATATGCTGCCATCTATATCTGAAAGACCTTATTGGAACCTCTTTGGAGTTCAGTTTTGTCCAAAGTATATTCAGTGGAAAGTTACTCCCATATATGCTTCATGACATTAGAATACCATGGTCCAAGAAGTTTGGAAGGGCTGCCTGCAATTTACCTCCCTTGGAGGTTTGTACCACACATTAACTGATTAAAGGTCCCAAGAAGTCCTGTAGCTAAGAAGTTTTTTTAACTTAGTTTAACCCACTATTCCCCAAACTAACAAACATTCAGCAGAACACACTTTGGAAAATCGTGGTTTACTATGTTAGATTGTAGCAGGCTTCCCTCTCTGGTTGAACTGGAGGAAGCCTGGAAGGATGTCACTCCAGTGACCTCTTGGGGAGGTGAGGAGGGAAAGGGAAGAAGGATGGAGGCTCTGAGCCTGAAACTCTTTCTCTAACCTTTTGTGAGATTTATCTAAACAGACTGACAAGCATGCCATTTATCTTTTCCGTCAGAAGGATATACCAATCAGTCTACCCTTTCCTTTTGGGTTGCTTTGATCCCTACTTATCAATGTCAAATCAAATTCTTCCCAAACTGTCTTTTCTTTTTTTCTTTTTTGTTGCTGATGAAGATTGGCCCTGAACTAACATCCATGCCCATCCTCCTCTATTTTTTGTATGTGGGATACCACCACAGCATGGCTTGATGAGCGGTGCGTAGGTCTGCACCTGGGATTCGAACCTGTGAACCCTGGGCTGCCAAAGCGGAGCGTGTGCACTTAACCACTATGCCACCGGGCCGGCCTCTCAAACTGTCTTTTCTTAGTTACCAAGATGTCCATTTGCTGTTTGGCTCTGAAGATAGAACTGACTTGTTCAGTCTTATCATGAAAAGTATAATCACTCTGCCATCTGTAAAGACTCTTACCCAGCTACAGGACATCATGCCAAGTGGGCCCTACAACTCAGAGGTAACTCCTGCTTTGGTTTGATAACTTGTCATCCACAGGGTCAGCTGATCTTGGCCTTTTGAGAATGCATTTAATTTTTTGGAACTAGCCAAAAACCATTTAAGCCAAGTCTAGTGAATAAAATAGATAGTTAAATTAAATAGCTTTTTTTCCTGTTTATTTTGTCTTCTTTCTTTTTTCTTTCTTCCCTCCTTCCTTGCTTTTGGCTCTAAAATAAAGTGGGAGTTGTAGGGGCACAGGGCAAGGCCACCCGAAAATATCCCACGATGGCATATTGATTACTTTAAATTAAAGTTACTTGTTTTGGCCCTCTCTCTGCTCCCCCTAGAAGCAGGAAGTAAATCTCTCACATGAGGGGTATTCTCCCCATACCAGGAGATATAGACATCCTTGTCACCAGAGCTAGGAAACTCAGGGCTGAGAAGCCTGTATAAACAAACCTTGTTATTTTCACTAATTTACTACCTCAAGCCTAAACTCTGCTTAAATTCCTTACTAATTACATACCCCAAACCTAAGTTTCTTTGTGCTGTCAATTACTCACAAATGTATTATTTCTTTGTGTAAAAAAGATATATAAACTGCCTGCTTTGTTCACTCTCTGAGCATCATTTTTATGATGATCTCCCATATATGCATATTAAATTGTTTTTTTCTTTGTTAATCTGGTCTGGTGTCAATTTGATTATAATAATAGCCCTAAGAAATCAAGTGGGGTAAGAGGGGGAATTTCTTCCTCCCCGACAGAGTATTCATATACTTAGAAGATATTTAGGGTTACCATGTGCTAAGCATCATGATAGGCAACAGAAATACAACAGTACACACTCATCCGGGGAGCTTACATCCTTGTGCAGAGATACAAACTGCTGATAAATATAATATCAGGTGGTAATAAGAGCTGTGAAAAAAATAAGACAGGGAAAGAGGAGGATGAAGAGTACTGTGGTTGGGAGGCACAGGGGCTTTTTCACATAGGGTGGTCAGAGAAAGCCTTCCTGATGAGATGACAGTGGAAGAGAGGGGGTGTGGATATCTCTGGAGGAGAAGCTTTCAGGCAGAGAGAAGGGAAAGTGTAAAGTCCTTGATTTTCTTCTGCAGCTAGTAAACCAGTTGGTAAAGCAGTTGCCAAAGGGAACTTGGTTCTCCTTTGTTTCAAGATATCAGAAAGAGTCACAAGTCAAACTTGTATCTTGATGACCCTAAATAATTCCCTAAATGTAGTGAGAATCAGTTAACTGTGTTCCCAGTAATGCTGAGGTGTCCATTTAATGTGAATATATGTTGTTTCACCTCAGGTCACGAACTGCCTACCAGTACTTTTACACTTCGTTCTGCACCTTGAGTAAAGTCTCCAGATAATGAGCCTTAAAAGTGTACAGTGCTTGGGGAACTTCCTATAGGGGGCGTCGCTGATCCTGTGCCTTTTCAGTGTCTCTACAGGCAGACGTTTCAGGCATTCTCGGAGATGCTCCAGAGTTTGGTGGTAAAAGACCCACATTTGGAAAATCTTGACACCATTTTTAAGGTAAACACAATATCAGGAGAGAATGGGAAACTATTCTTATTAACTGGTGAAAATGGAAGAAGAAAATGTGGAAGGATTAAGTTTTAAGAGAGAGCATAAGAGTTAAGAGGATCAGCTATCAATTTTGAGTCAGACTTGGGTTCAAATTCTGACTCTGCCATTCATTGGTTATAAATTCAGCAAGGAATGTAATCTCTCAGTCTTATTTCTTCACCTTTAAGTTGAGATAATAATTACTGTGAGTATTGAATAAATGGCCTTCAATAGAGGGTTTAAATGGTTGCTATGATTATTCTTTAAATTATTTTTGCTTTCTACCATAGAAGGGTTTCAGTCAGTGACCAGAGAACAGAGTCAGCCTCATGAATGAGTAAATAGGCAGCTGCCTACCAGGCAAGATTCAAAGGTCTTTAATAACCACCTGCTCCCACTTATACCAGTTCCAGTATATGCTCTTCCATCATTAGGGATTTATTCACTGAGTGCATTTACTGCAGTTCAAGCAGCTTGCTCTCTTGCCCCTTTTAAGATGCAGATATCCCAGAAAGGATAACCCCTGAGACTATTATTAATCATTTGTGTGTAAGTAAAGATGGACATTTATCTTTGCCACAACGAACCTTAACATTATTTCTCATTCCTCTTCTATTTGTACATCAACACTCCAGCCAGACTGGGTTTCTCTCCTTTATCTCGTTGTGCCCTGTACTTTCCTGCCTTGGCAGCTTAATTAAACTGTTTCTTCTCCCTGAAAAGCCACCTTCTTTATGAAGCTGCTACTCATGGATATTATCTTCTCCGTGAATCTTTTCCTGACTGTTCCAGGCAGATGCATTTTCTCCATCTTCAGAGTTCTTTAATAGCACGTCATTAATTTTCTTCCTTTCAGATTTCAGAAGGCTAAAAACATAGAGAAGAATAGAATAAATAATTGAAGGAAGTGGAATGAAGGGAAAACATGTCTAGAAAAGAAGCCCCTGTAGAAGCCAGACCACTGACCCTCTAGGTCTTTGTGCCGTTTGTCATCCCACCACTTTCATTTCAACCAAAACTGGTTTATCATTTAGGAAAATATTTTCAGACACAGTAGTGACATGTGGAACTTCTCTCTCCATATTTTCTTCCAAACAGAATAAAGGTGTTATCCCAGATCTTCCTGATAAACCATTTAGGCTCCCTTTATGTTTCACAGCACATGGACCCCTGGTTACAGTCAATCAAAGACCATGAGCGGGAACGGGCCACAGCCAGCATGGCTCAGGTTCTGAAGTGCTTATCCAGACATCTCAGCTTAAAGGTAAGCAGCCCTTCAGTTGCAGAGGAAGAAGGATCCGAAGCCATCCTATCGCTGCCTGTTTCCCCTCCTATTTGTGACTGCCCGAAATGGTGACTCCTTGGTGCTCAGGTAACATCGTAGCACTTAGCATTATTCACATATCTGCCGGTCTCCTAAAATTTGAGCAGCTTGAGGCCAGGTACTGTGTTTGTTAATCTTGCACACCTACTGCTTAGCGCAAGAGCTATAACATAACAATACAGTAAATGTTTTTGAATGAGTGAGTAAGTAAATGTCGCCTGAAAATATCTGAGGGCCCACAGTGGCCTAGTCTCTGTGCAGTGTTGTATTTGAAGTAATAAAGTCCAGCAGGCAAATGTAAGTACATCAATTTAAATATCTCCCAGCATCTCAAATAGTTCTATGGTACCCCTTTTTAAATCCTCTCATTTCTATCTTTCACTCTCTCACTTCTCAGTTGTTCTGAATCCTCTCCCATAACTCCTAAAAAGAACTCCCCAAAACTAAGATCCTCCTTCCCGCATCTATTCTTTTTTTCCTCTGTGAATCTCTTTCCTCTTTCCCAAGTAGATCTACTAGGCACTGGAGCTTCTCCTGTTCTCCATCCGTCATTTTTCTAGTCTGCATAATAAGGCCCAGGAATTGGAAGAGGAACTGGAGGTTGGGAATGCTAGATCCTATGCCAGAATTTTCCTTAGAGAATTTGTCCTTGATAAAAATATTCTAACAGTCATGCTTAAAGGGATGGCATTCTACTAACTTTCTTATTTCTCACAATGAAAATATATCCAAACTTTCCACCTCCGTACTGAAGTAAGTTCAGTCCCTCAAACTATGCTGCTTCCTTTTTTCTCTCTTTAGTCCATGAAAGCAAGTCACTTCTGGCCATTACTGACACCCTATTATTCTGTCTTCACTGACTACCGTATTGTTGGTATTCTAATAACAACAATGAATTGTTCTTCCTTCTGCATTCCTCAACCTCTAATTTTGGCTGCAGACTAAAGAAGAAAAGAGTTTCAAATGACTCTCTCCTATATAAAATCTCTCTCTAGGCCCTGGAGATCTTCCTTAGCGTTTTCTTCCTAGAGAGAATTGCTAATGTAGGGCTGCTTAACCTAGGTGCCTTTAGGGTCTGTGAACATCCAGACAGTTGTATGCAGAATTTTGTGTGGTACAGCCTTCTGAATTTTTCTGAGGAAGATCCATAGCTTTTCTTAAATCAACTTTATTGAGTTGTAATTTATATACAATGAAATCCACCCAATTTAAGTGTATAATTTTGACAAATGTATATTCCCTGGGTCCCTAACTTTTTGCATATTCTCAAGTAAACCTAAAAAGATAAAGAATTGAAAAAGAGATCGTTAAAGAACCACTTAGTCATCAGACTAGGAACATAATTCTCCAGTGGCCTTTTGTGTCTGAATAAAGTTTGGGATTTTTTTTATATTTTGTATAATTTT